GAATCCTGCGGAAAGTTGTGGGGTTCACAGAAAAACCGGCGGAATCATGAGGAATACTGAACATTCTTCAAAATTCATCAGGCATCCTAAGGAATCTGGACGGTTTCAAGCGAAACCAGGAATCATCCAGGAACCTGGATATCCGAATGCATGCTGAAGAACTGGTGCGAAGCCTGACGACACTTGAAGAATTCGGAAAACGAAGGGATCCTGATCATCCGGGTGAATCCTGACGACATTGACACTTGAGAAGGCCTCGCCAAAATTGTAAGTACGGTCGAAACATTCAGGGGCATAAAAGGCCGGCCAACAGAAGAACATGGACTCCCGATTGCCTTAATAGTCGTGATACTAACCGTAGTAGTAGTAATATTAGTAGTAGTAGTAGTAGTAGCAGCAGTAGTAGTAGTAGTAGTAGTAGTAGTAGTAGTAGTAGTAGTAGTAGTAGTAGTAGTAGTAGTACTAGTAGTAGTAGTAGTAGTAGTAGTAGTAGTAGTAGTAGTAGTAGTAGTAGTAGTAGTAGTAGTAGTAGTGGTAGTACTAGTACTCGTAAACGTAGTAGTAGTAGTAGTAGTAGTAGTAGTAACAGCATAGTAGCAGTCGTAGTAGTAGTAGTAGTAGTAGTAGTAGTAGTAGTAGTAGTAGTAGTAGTAGTAGTAGTAGTAGTAGTAGTAGTAGTAGTAGTAGTAGTAGTAGTAGTAGTAGTAGTAGTAGTAAGTAGTAGTAGTAGTAGTAGTAGTAGTAGTAGTAGTAGTAGTAGTAGTAGTAGTAGTAGTAGTAGTAGTAGTAGTTGCAGTAATAGTAGAGATAGCCGTAGAATGAATAGTCGTACTGGCAGCAGTCGCAGTAGTAGCAGGCGTAGTCGTAGTAGTAGTAGTAGTAGTAGTAGTAGTAGTAGTAGTAGAAGTATTACTAGTAGCAGTGGTAATACAAGTAGTTGTAGCAGAAGTAGTAGAAACTCAAATCGTAGTAGTAGCCGTCGTAGTCGGACTGGAACTAGTAGTAGCAGCCGTAGATCTATTAGTAGTAGTAGTAGTGGTGATTGGGGTCGTATTAGTAGTAGTAATAGTAGTAGTAGTAGTAGTAGTAGTAGTAGCAGTAGCAGTAGTAGTAGTAGTAGTAGTATTAGTAGTAGTAGTAGTAGTGCAAGTAGCAGTAGTAGCAGTAGTAGAAGAAGTAGTAGTAATAGTAGTAGTCGTAATGGTAGTAGCAAAGGTAGTGTACGGATGATAACAGCTGACCATGTAGTAGTAGTCTAGTCGTACTTAGCCGTCGTAGTAGCAGTAGTAGAACTAGTACGAAAACTAGTAGTAATGATCGTACAAGTAGGTGTTGGTCATGTCGTGACTGTGGTCGTAATAACTGAAATCGTAGCGAGGGGTAGCATTAGTAGTGGTAGAGGTAGTACTAGTAGTAGTAGCAGTAGGAGTACTAGTAGCAGTAGTAGTAGTAGTAGTAGTAGTAGTAGTAGTAGTAGTAGTAGTAACACTAGTAGTAATAGTGGTAGTGGTGGTAGTAGTAGTCGTAGTCGTAGTAGTCGTTAGTGCTAGTCGTAGAAAAAGGAGCAGTAGTAGTAGTGGATATTGTAATCGTGATAATAGGAATACATATGCTAAGAATAGTCGGCGCAGTGGTAACATTCATCGTAGTAGTCCGAGTCGTAGTACTACTCGTAGCGGTAGTAGAAGTCGTATTCTTACTCGTATGCATCGCGGTGGTAGTAGTCGAAGTAGTAATCGTAATAGTACTAGAGGTAGTCGTAGTAGTAGTAGTAGTAGTAGTAGTAGTAGTCGTCGTCGTCATAGTATTAGTAGTAGTAGTAGTAGTGACAGTCGTAGTAGTAGGGGCAGTAGTAGTAGTAGTAGTAGTAGTAGTAGTAGTAGTAGTAGTGGTGGTAGTAGTTAGTAGTAGTAGTAGTAGTAGTGGTAGTAGTAGTAGTGGTAGCAGTCGCCGTCGTCGTCGTAGTAGTCGTCGTAGTGCAATGATAGTAATAGTGGTGGTGGTAGTAGTCGTTGTCGTAGTCGTAGTAGTAGAAGTAGTAAGAGTACTAGCCGTCGTAGTAGTAGGGGTGGTCGTAGTAGAGTAGTAGTAGTAGCAGTAGTAGTAGTAGTAGTAGTAGTAGTAGTAGTAGTAGTAGTACTAGTAGTACTAGTAGTAGTGGTAGTAATCGCAATAGTCGTAGTAGTCGTAGTAGTCGTAATAGCGGTCGTAGTAGTTGAGGTCGTGTCGTCGCAGTTATAATTATAGCTCTAATCCCACCAGCCCTCTGGGCGTCGGTGGTTTAGGGAGTTTCCTCTTCCACCCCTCCCTCTTCCCCATCGGGAGGGGTTGACCCCTCCCCTTATCCCCTCCCCATGGAACTGAACAAGGGGTTTCGCGAGTCGTCGGAGCGTCCAAAACGGCCTCGGCGAGGAAGCCAAAATCATTGGTTTTATCAGTGTTTTGGTCCCATGTTGGCCTCCTGAGGGGGGGGGGGGGCCCTAATCAAAGCTCCCCTCTTGTTTGATCGATCTCCTCCAAGATGGCCCCAAGAAGCGCCCAGGAGGCCCCAAGAGGTCGGCGAGAATGCCAAACCATTGATTTTACGAAGGTGTTAGCCACATGTTGGCCTCTTGGGGGGGCATTGGTTAAGATGACTCCAAGTGCGCCTGGGAGAGCCCCAAATGACCTCCAAGATGGCTCACGATATCCCAAGATGTCTCATAACTGCTTCCTCTTTGTGCTGCCCACTTCCCTGATCGAGGCAATTCCTCTGGGCATCGTTTCTGGATGGGCTGGTGGGGATCCGCGAAGCGTCAAAAATTCCAATTCTAGGAGTTCTGGTCTGCTCTGGGATGGCTGTCTCCTCTCCAGCAGTAGGAACAAAAAACCATCTTGGCGCTGATGGGTTGCAACCGCCTGTGCTCCAGAGGTCGAGACGCGGATGATGGCCCCTGGCCTCTCGGCCGGGAGCCTCGCTGCCCCGGGGAGCGTGGAAGCGCCTGGAGCTCTCCTGCAGCTCGTTACGGGGACGTCCAAACCTCCCGCGCTACGGAACGATCGCGACGCCCAACTATTTCTAAACTTTGGGTCCCTGCACCCTGCCAGTGCCGTGGCAAAATCATGCTGTCCCATCTCCTCCGAGTGCTCCTCCTCCTCCCCTTCCGCTCCTCCTCTCTAGATCGAAACATATGGAGTCAATCCCTTATGGGCTGCAGGATGCCTCTGGAGACCTCTGGAGGCCTCCTTCTTCTCCTGCCTGCCCTCATCCCTTTTCTCCTCCATTCCTTCTTCCTACTATAAGAGAACTCCTCCCTGTCGCGCCCCGAAGCCTGTCGGAAGGGCGGACTGGGCGTTGCGCCTGAGACTTCCATACCATGTGTGATCCTGAAACTTACAACTTGCGAACAGTTTCACAGATGGAGGGCCAGTCGCTTCCAACATGTGGCTCTCGCCTGAGCGCCGCGCATATTCGTTTCCAAGAAAGCCAGAACTTTGTAGATTGAGGGCGGGTCGTTTTCAAACTGTGGCTCTCGGCTAAGGGCCGCGCACATTCGTGGTTCAAACGTTTGCAAGAGTTTCACGAATTGAGGGCGGCTCGTTTTCAAAATGTGGCTCTCGTCTTAGCGCCGGGCACACCCGTCTGTAAAGTGTTGCAAGAGCTTCATGTATTGAAGGCCGTTCGTTTTTAAACATGTGGCTCTCGTCTTAGCGCCGCGCGCATTCGCCTGAAAATTCCCTAGAGTTTCTCGGATTGAGGGCGGCTCATTTTCAAAATGTGGCTCTCGTCTTATTGCCGAGCACATTCGTCTCAAGAGTGTGCAAGAGCTTCACGCATTGAGGGCGGTTCCTGTTCAAATTATGGTTCTCTCCTCAGCGCCGCACACACTGGTTTGAGAATGCCAAATTTCAGGGGTTGAGGGCGGCTCGTTTTCAAAAGTGTTGCTCCCGCCTTAGTGCCGCGCAGACTCGTCTCAAAACGTTGCAAACATTTCACGGATTCTCATGGCTACCGTGCCAGAAACGGTGTTTTTGAACGAGTCAGAACTGTCAGGGCGCAACACTTACGTTACTTAGCGGTGTTGAAGTGCCAGGAACGGCTTTCTGGCACGATTCAGGATCCCCAAGACGCAACACTATGGTTGGTTCGTGGTGTTGATGTCTCGAGAATGGTGTCTCGGCACGCTGCAGGATGTTCGAACGGTTGTCTCCCAAAGGGGCAGCTTCCTCAGCGGAAATGAATCCGTGTAGGTGCCTGTGAAGAGGGAGCTTGGAAGGAGGGTTTATTCCTAAATCGTTGATGAGTCTTGGATTTGCCCTGGTCCCCCACCTTCCTCCCCATCTGCCTTCGCATCACAGAGCCTCTTCCTCCTCCTTCTGCCTCCCCTTTCTTGTCAGCCCCTCCTCCAACCTGCCCGTCTTTCTCCTCGTCCCTCCTCCACCTCCTCGAATTCCTTCTCCTCCTCCTCATCCTCCAACTTGCTGCTGCGGCTCCTCCTTCTCCCCCTCCCCCTCCCCCTCCCCCTCCTCCTCCTCCTCCTCCTCCTCCTCCTCCTCCTCCCTCCTCCTCCTCCTCCTCCTCCTCCTCCTCCTCCTCCTCCTCCTCCTCCTCCTCCTCCTCCTCCTCCTCCTCCTCCTCCTGCTCCTCCTGGTATGCTGCCAGCTGTCTGAGGCGGCGCCCTGGACACGCCCACAAGGTCTCGGCAACTGTCTTGCCAGCGATCGCCTGGCCTGCCATCGCTCAGAGCAGCGGAATGCAAGCAAACCTCCACTGGCCGAGAGCATCTTCGGCGAACCCAGGCAGACTCATTGCCAAATATTCTCAATGAAGCTGAAACGCTGAGAAGTGTAAGCACGTATTTTTGCCCAGGGCATGGCTCATTCTGATTGGCACTGCTCATCCGGATGATCGTTCTCATTCTAATTCTCCTCCTCCTCCTCGTCCTCCTCGTCGTTCCACTGCTCCCTCTCCCCCCCTCCCTCGCCTTGGGAGACAAGCTCGTCCCCCCTCCCCTCTCGACCGCGTGGGCGTAGATGCACGGCAGTGCGCCGGGGAAGCATACCGACTGCCTGGGGCTGCGCCTGATGCCGGCGATGGACGACTTCCTGGGGGGCAGCAGAGCGCGTGCGCGTGAGAGGCCTCAAAGTTCGAGAGAGGCTCAGTCCAGCTGTAGGCCAGCAGATGAACCCCCTCGGCTCTACATTGACTTCCTGCTCCGACCTGATTTAGCATCACCTGAGATGAGGCTAAGTCCAAGATGGAGCCCCTTGGCTCAGACCAGATTTGCTCCAACTGGACTCAGCGTCTCAACCGAGTGTAGCCACACTGAGTGCAACAACGAGGAGTAGCAGAAGCAGCACAAGCAAGAGTAGCAAAAGGTGAACAGTCCAACCCATCGCGCTTTCGCCCCCCGATCAGTTCAACTCAATCAAGCCGAAGCATAAAACGTAATACTGAGGACGACGGAGGGGATCATGGCACACGACGATGCTATTGTCGGGGGTCCCCAGACCGTCTGGTGACACCGCACGGTGTCTCAAGGGCGACACGGGGTGAGCGGACGGTTTTGGGATTCGGGCTACTCTCCGAGGGTGTCTCGAGCGCCAGGGGGGCCTCCAAAATCACAGGACCATCTGGTGACAGACCGTCGGGTGAGGCCTTCGGGATTCTGAAATCCATGGACGTTCTGTCACCACTTAGTCTTTGGACCCTCGATGATCTGCAACAGGTAGGTGGCGACATCCGAACTCTACCACCATCAACCATCGATTCCCCCGAATCGATGGGAGGCGTGGGCAGTGTTCGGATTTCGCCACGTGTTCGACGAATTCCGAACCCCACCCCCGCCGCCCCTCGAATTGCCTGAACTGCTAATCGGCGAGAGCGGGGTTTCAGCGCGTTTCTTTATTCGCGGCGATAACGGGCGTTATGCGGGCGGGGGCAGAACGTAACGCCCACCTCGCGTGCTGTTCCAGCGCCACCACATCGTCCGCGCGCACGACGACGAGCGACGACGACGACGACGAGAACGACGACGACTAGTAACCACGACGACGACGAGCGACGACGACGACGAAGAGCGACGACGAGCGACGACGAAGACGACGGCGAGGACGACGACGACGAGCGATCACGACGACGACGAAGACGACGACGACGAGCGACGACGACGACGACGACGACGACGACGGCGACGGCGACGACGACGAGCGACGCCTCCGGAGGTCTCTGGAGGTTTCCCGAGGCCTCCGAAGGCCTCCGAAGGCCTCCAGAGCCCTCTGGAAGCCTCCAGAGGCCTTCCAGAGGTCATCCGAAGGCCTCCAGAGGCCTTCGAAAGCATTCGAAGGCGTTTGACAACGACGAGCGACCGCGAGCGATGACGACCGACGACAATGACAACGACCACGACGACACCTCAGATGACGACAACGACGACGACGACGACGACGACGACGACTGACAACGAAGAGCGACGACGACGACGACGAAGGGCGACGACGACGACGACGACCGACGACGACAACCGACAGCGAAGAGCGACGAGGAGTTGCGCCGAGCACATGCCTTCCAAGGCATCGTTGCCTCAACGTGGCATAGAAGAGGTACGCTCCTTGCCTCCCTCCTCCGTCCTCGTCGTCGTCGCCGTCGTCGTCGCCGTCGTCGTCGTCGTCCTTCGCCTCCGATTGCTCTCTCTCTCTCTCTCTCACGAACACCGCAGGTGCCTCAGAGCACCGCCACGTGCCCGAGACCACCGCCCCGACCGATGCGGATCTTGCTGCGGCTCCCCACGAGGACCTCCGCGGGATCCCCGATGCGCATCCCTGTGCGCATCCCTATGTGCGGATGCCCATGCGGATGCCTGTGCGGATCCACATGCGGATGCCTGTGCGGATGCCCATGCGAATTGCCATGCGGATCCCAATGCGGATCCCTATGCGGATACCTAGGCGGACCCCAGTGCGGATGCCTCTGGGGATCCCTATGCGGATCCCCACGCGGATCCCTATGCGGATCCCTGTGCAGATCCCTGTGCGGATCTCTACAAGGATCCCTGGGAACCCCAATGCGGATCCATGTGCGGATCCCGGTGGATATCTCTATGCGATCCCCATGCGGATCCCTCTGCGGATTTCTGTGCGGATCCCCATTCAGGCTCCTATGCGGATACCTGTGCGCACGGCGGCAGTGCCGGGGGCGCACTGGGGGCCGGGCCCTCACGTTCTGGGGGTGAGAGGGACCGGGAGAGGCATAACGCGCGTCATGGCCCAAGCAATGAAGACACAAAATCTTTAGATTCCGCCGCCGATAAGGGTGTAACGTTCCCCTCCTTCTGGGGCTCTACCGAACCAGGACTGAAATACTGAGAATACTGACGAAATGCCTGCTGGATACGGGATGTGGGAACCTGGCTGCGGTGCACGTCCATGGGGCGAGAGGGAAAATGCACGGCTGCATGGCCATGTGCGTGTTCCGATGCATGTGCATGGCGACCCTGAACATCACCCCCATGACCTCTCTGTTGGTACGTTTTGGCGAGAATTTCGAAGTCACTCCTGCCGTGGCGACGAGAAGCCTCCATCCAGGAAGCACCCACCAAGGGCCAACGAGCATCAGAAAAGCCAGGTCCTCGAGCATCGATCCTCGAACCACCTTTCCTCATGCTCCAATGCATGCGCATGTCCATGAGGGGGACGATAGGGGAGGACTGGCTGAGGGGGGAGGCACATTGAACTGGAATCGGCGATATAACGCAAACAGATCGGCGATAATACGAGACCTATGTTGCTTCACATCAGCAATTTGGCCCCTGCTGACTTGTTTCATAATAATATATTGGGATGAAACGCTGCCGCTGGATATATCGAGCACAGTTGATCACAACACAAACGCTCCTGCGATCCCCGCCAAAATGGCAAGAAATGGTAAGCTCAGATCCGCATGGCTACATTGCAACCGAACCGCTTGACCACCATCTCGACCGAACTGGCGGAATTCGACCACGCGTCCGACAAAATACGTTCGACGAGGGATGCGCTGCACAATGCCCCGGCCACGGGCAGCGCTACGAGGGAAAGCGGGCCCTTCGATGTGTCACTTTCAGCGCCCGTGAAAGTGACACCTCCCAGGGCCCACTTAAAGAGCACCAGAAAGGCTCCAAGAAGGCCCCGAGAAGGCCCCAGGGCGGCACCAAGAGGGCTCCCAGAGGGACCCAAGAGAGGCCCCAAGAAGGGCCCAAGAGGGCCCTCCGCGGTGTCACTTTCAACGCCCGTGAAAATGACACCTCCCAGGGCCCACTTAGGGCCTCAGAAAAGCTCTAAGAAGGCCCCGAAAGGGCCATAGAGAGCCGCCCTGGGTTCAACTCCGCGTGGCGGAGTTGGAAGCGATAACTTCAATACCCTACTGGAGGCCTCTTAGGGGCCCTAAGACGGCACTGAAGAACCCCATCGGGGCTTTTTCAAAGGCAGAGGAGGGCGCAAAAAGGGGCCTCAGTGAGCCCCTGGTCTAACTCCACCTGGCGGAATTGGAAGCGATATCGCCCGGCGCCTTCATGGAGCCGCTCGGAGCTTCCAAGACGGCTCCAGAAGGCCCCAGGAGGGCCCCAAGAGGATCGAACGACGATTCCTGGAAGTGCACCAGTGAGACCCTTGTTGACCTCCGCCTGGCGGAGTTGGAAGCGACAATTTCCAGTGCCCTCTTGGGGCCTCTGGGGGGCCCCTCAGAAAGCTTTGGGGAGCACAGTGAAGGCCTTCGCAGGGCCGCGTGAGAGCCGTACCAGGGCCGCATGTGTGCGCGGATGGGGGCGACGAGTGCTGACGCTGACGAATATGAGAATGATGAGGGCGATCAAGGCTGGCCCGAAACAAATCCTGGCGCCATTGCAGGCCGCCGATTATCGGCCACGCCGCCAGGACGACGCCAAGCAACAAAACGACACCAACCAACAAACCGACACCAACCAACAAACCAACAAATCGACACCGGCCAACAAAAGGACACCAAGCAACAAAACGACACCAAGCAACAAAACGACACCAACCAACGAAACGACACCAACCAACAAAACGGCACGAATCAACAAAACGGCACTGACCAACCAAACGACAAATCACTTCACGACACCAATGAACAACGCGAAATCCACCGACCGCCAACCAAGCATAAAATCAACCGACACAACGAAACCAACCCATAGAGCCAGACCAACCACTGGATTCGTGAGTCGGGGTAGTCATGGAAGTGAGCCGCTGCAGCCCGCGGAAGCCATTAACAGTGACCAGAGCACCGCAATGCAGCAACGTCCCCGGGCGGCGGCGGGAGTCTTGGATCTCCCGCGGGACTGGAGCGTAGCGAGTTCGTCCTGGGTCCGGTTTAGTGAAGTGAAGAATTTCGGGGTGCTTGCATGGCAAAAACCTTCACTTCACTAATCTGGGGCCCCTGGAGCCCCAGGGCGTTTCAGGTCCCCTCGCTGTCTGGGTAGTCCAGGGGGCGCAGTGGCGGCTTACCAGAGGCCCTGTTCCTTAGCCTCACTTGCTTTCACCCGTGGTGCTCGACGGCCGTCTCGGAGCTGTCTTGTGGCGGTCTGGGGCAATCCCGAAGCCTCTTGGAGCCATCCCAAGGCCCCAAGGCGCCACCAATGGGGGCCCCAAGGGAGCTCCCAGAGGGCCCCGAAAGGCCTACAACAGATTGCACGTTCGCGCGAATTCTTTGTACCACTTTGGGGGGTCCCTCTTGGGGCCCTCGGGGAACGTTCTTGGGGCCCTCCGAGGGCCCACTGGGGCCCCGGGAAGGCCCCAAGAACGCTCCCAGAGGGCCCCAAGAATGCTCCAAGAGGGCCCCAAGAGGACCCCCACAAGTGACAAAAACTATTTGCATGAGGGTGCAACTTACTCGGCGCCTCTTGGGGCGCTCTTGGAGCCGTGCTGGGCGCCACTCGTGGACGACATGGGCTGGGCGACGGCATGTGGACCCTGTCGCTTGGGCCATCGGGGGTGCTCCCCAATGGGGCCACGAAGCTTGTGAGCGTATGACGGAATGGGCTGGGCGGCGGCCTGTGGGCCCTGCCTGTGGGGCCGTCGGTGTAGCTCCCCGTGGGGCCACGAAGCGT